AATCACAACCTCTTGACTTTTATAAATACGATGAAATCAAAGAATGCCCGGATTCTGAGGTGGGCTCTCAGAATCCAACCTTATTCCTTCAGTATAAATCATATAAAAGGCCCTAGAAACATTCTTGTGGATGCTCTTTCACATCCTTAACCCCTTGACTGTCACAACCCCCAATCCTGAGGTGTCTCCTGGTGTCGCAAAATTTAAAAAAAAAAAAAATTATTTTTTCTTATGAAATGATAGAGAATCTTTTTCTGATTGTAATGATACCAAAAAAATGAAATTTGATGGAAAGCTGGCGGAATTACGCTCTCACGAAATTAGCGACATCGGTGATATTTACAAATCGGCGATTTCGCCCACTTTGAGCCCTATTTTCGGCTAATTCCTTTGCTTCAGTCGACCAAATTCATAGCTATTTCTTTAGAACTCCATTTTTTCTATCAATTGAGTACAAGAAACTGCCCATTTACCAATTTCAACTACCCAATAACGTGGTCAGAAATTTGAAATTTGGCCAATTTCACGAAAATTAAAAAATATGACAATTTCAAAATAAGGTCCAGAATGAACAATGCAGACATTCCTGGGTCTAAAATAACATTTTCTTTGTTCATCAGTCATGTCTCCAGGCCCCTCTGATATTACTCTTGCTTTCTGTTTTGAATTTTTATTCAAACAAAAAATAGAAGATTTACTATTATGCAGACTACTGCAATACTGTAATAATTGTATAAATAACATCAACCCATTCATGACTGCATATTAGAATGGCTAGTTGGACATTTATTGGACAATGACATCATTTGTTTACTTTTGAACATCGGCAAAAAATCAAACATTTCCCCTACTTTGAGCTCCATTTCAGCTTTGTTTCACTTAAAGCCAGGACATCCAGCTTCTTCACATTCATAACATCCACAATCATCTCTCTTATCATTTGCACAACATCCACACACATTCAGACTTCCCACTTTGACAATTTTCTTCTTATTCTTTTTAGTAATTATTACAGGAAAAGGGGTTACTAGCCCATTGTTCCCGGCATTTTAGTTGACTTTTACAACACGCATGGCTTACGGAGGAAAGATTCTTATTCCACTTCCCCATGGATATAAAACGAAAAGTAATAAGACCAAGAACTATTAAGATAAAATCAAAGAAAACTCAGATGAGTGTGTGCAAATAAACATGTACATGTATGTGTAGTGTGACCTAAGTGTAAGTAGAAGTCGCAAGACGTGCCTGTAATCTTGCATATTTATGAGACAGACAAAAGACACCAGCAATCCTACCATCATGTAAAACAATTACAGGCTTTCGTTTCACACTCATTTGGCAGGACGGTAGTACTCCCCTGGGTGGCTACTGTCTACCAACCTACTACTGTAATATAGATATATATCTTTCTTTCAACACACCAGCCGTATCCCACTGAGGTGGGGTGGCCCAAAAGGACAAACGAAAGTTTCTCCTTTTAAATTTAGTAATATGTACAGGAGAAGGGGTTACTAGCCCCTTGCTCCCGGCATTTTAGTCGCCTCTTACAACACGCATGGCTTACGGAGCAAGAATTCTGTTCCACTTCCCCATGGAAATAAGAGGAAATAAACAAGAACAAGAACTAGTAAGAAAATAGAAGAAAACCCAGAGGGGTGTGTGTATATATATGCTTGTACATGTATGTGTAGTGTGACCTAGGTGTAAGTAGAAGTAGCAAGACATACCTGAAACCTTGCATGTTTATGAGACAGAAAAATGGACACCAGCAATCCTACCATCATGTAAAACAATTACAGGCTTTCATTTTACACTCACTTGGCAGGACAGTAGTACCTCCCTGGGTGGTTTCTGTCTACCAACCTACTACTACGGCCGGTGTGTTGAAAGAAAGAAAGAATATATATGATGATGATGAATCATTTACCAGTGGTAACAACCATTTAATGTTTGTACAGCCTCACCTCTGGTTACTACCTGCCTGACGTGAGCTTACGTCAGAGGTGAGTGGAGTAGTCGGTACAGCACCTCTCTGGGTGTAGAGGCCTTCATTGCTTACTCATTTTATCTTAAATTAAGAAGCTATTGGTCTAGAGCTTTATTCTCTAAAGTCACCAGAACTTGTGAAACTTTCATTGTATAGAAGTTCTCGTGTGTTAAAAGACTTCAAGTATTCTAGTCAACGCTAATCGTCTAGGAAAATAGAGACACTGTAACTTGATAGATTATATTTATATTAAAGGCCTATTCAGCTAAAATGAAGGTCATGGTAATTTATAAGTTGTGTATAAAGTCTGTGTATATATATAATTACTGAAAAAGGTACAGTGAACCCTCAGTTAACGACATTAATCCATTCCAGAGAGCTTGTCTTCAACCGATTCTGTCGTTATCTGAATTAATTTTCCCCTTAAGAAATAATGGAAATTCAATTAATCCATTTAAGACATCCAAAAGTATTAAACAAAATAATTTTTTTTACATGAAATATACATTTCTCTACACAGAAAATGATGAGACATGCAGAATAAACAATACTAAAATGACACTTACCTTTATTGAAGACTTATTAATGAGTGATGAGACAGGAGGAGGGGAGAGGATGAAGGTGTACTAGCATTTGGAAGGGGAATCCCCTTCCATAAAGACTTCAGGTACCAAGTCCTTTTCTGGGGTTACTTCCTTTCTTTGTTTTTTAATACCACTAGGACTAGCTTGAAATCAATGCACACATGTGGCACTAAATATCTGTCCAGAGAGCTCTGTTTCTGGTGTCTCTTTAAAATTTCCCTAAAATGGGACACAACATTGTCATTGTAGATGTTGCCAGCATGGCCTGCAACAGCTGTGTCAGGGTGATGTTCATCCATAAATGTTTGCACATAAAGCAGGAACACTGCAGCAGGCCTGTTGGCCCATACTAGGCAGGTCCTTCACAAACCATCCCACTAACAGAATCGTATTTGCCCAATCCAATTTTCAATGCTTCCCAAGCAATAAACTTTGAGAATTCTATTCACTCATGTGCAAGTCCCACTCAAATCAAATCATGTGTGGGGAAGTACCCTGGCTGGTATGTGGGGAAGTACCCTGGCTGGTGTGTGGGGAAGTACCCTGGCTGGTATGTGGGAAAGTACCCTGACTGGTATGTGGGGAAGTACCCTGACTGGTATGTGGGGAAGTACCCTGGTTGGTGTGTGGGAAGTACCCTGGCTGTTGTGTGGGGAAGTACCCTGGCTGGTATGTGGGGGAAGTACCCTGGCTGGTATGTGGGGAAGTACCCTGGCTAGTATGTGAGGAAGTACCCTGGCTGGTAAGTGGAGAATTACCCTGGCTGGTAAGTGGCGAATTACCCTGGCTGGTAAGTGGGGAAGTACCCTGGCTGGTAAGTGGGGAAGTACCCTGGCTGGTAAGTGGGGAAGTACCCTGGCTGGTAAGTGGGGAAGTACCCTGGCTGGTAAGTGGGGGTGTAAGTACCCTGGCTGGTAAGTGGGGAAGTACCCTGGCTGGTGTGTGGGGAAGTACCCTGGCTGGTAAGTGGGGAAGTACCCTGACTGGTGTGTGGGGAAGTACCCTGGCTGGTGTACCACCATCACTACCACCACCACCACTTTTGCATCTTTCTACCTACTTTTTCTTGAATTCTATAGTGTTTCTCATGCTCTTTACCAAAGGGCTGACACTAGAAGCTTTTTTTGGGCCCATGGTGGCTTATTTAGCAGTTACAACCACTAAAAGCAATGGAATACAAGATGTATCGCATGTACGCTTGGAATCGTCCTCACTGGCTGTACATGGAGTGGCCGGGCCGCTTAGGTCATGCAGACACATTTGGGACGAATGACTAACTGAGTTCTTTGTCGTTAACTGAGCCAATATTTTGATGCAAAAACGTGTTATCTGATGACGTCATTAACTGAGGGTCCACTGTACAATTAAAGTACCTTAAGTCAATAACGTCATTTACGTTATATTAAAGATACAATTTACAAAGTTTTTTTGATCTCCTTATTAATCAATACACAAAAAATGATTCCTTATTATGATAAAACTAGAGTATAATTCTCCATAAAAATCCCATAGACTAACATCGCCTATTGTTTATGAAGTTTATCGTAATAGTAACAGTTAGGTAACTTTATTCCGAAGTGTTTTGCCTACAGATTAGGCTTCTTCAGTCTAGTACAGAAAGTAGGCAGAAGCAGTGGAGACGTGAAGACGATGCCACATCTCCACTGCTCCTGCCTACTTTCTGTACTCGACTGAAGAAGCCTACTGTGTAGGCAAAAAGTTTTGGAATAAAGTTGCCTAACTGTTGCCCATGTGTCTTACCTACCAGCAGCATTAGCTGCAATGAACTGGGTAGATAATAGTCATTATTTAAGTTATCTGACCTCAATTATTTTTAACGAGTTGTTGAGTTGAAAAGAAGAGTGCCTACATTGTCTACACCTTTGAGCAGAGCAGGGTTCTGTATTTATGATCACTTAATAGCATTGTATATAGTGAAATTTTCAGACAAATCTATTGGTAACTTAACTGAATAAAGTATACATATAGACCTGCTCCTTGAAGACTTAGACCACAAGCATTCAATTCTGATTTGTGTGTCATATATGAACATGATAAGTCTTACAATTGCTTAGTCCATTAAGTCCACAAGGTTTGAGTTCCATAATTTCATCTAGGGTGTTTTATATCAATATAAACTGCTTGCAGAATAGCTGAAAATTTTTATGATGAATGTTGCTGTAATAAAACAAGTATTTGAAACAAGGTAAAATATCACAACCAAAGTAATTATGAACAAAGCAAATTTAACTAGTGATATCTGTAGCATAAAAACAAAGCAGAATGCCACAAGAACAGGCCAATTATATACATGATGTAAAAATATTTAGATAATTTCATGACAAGTTTATTTCAATACCAAAATGAATTAATCCTAGAACAGTGATGTCTCGGGAATCCTGAGCTCTATATTTACTTACTGGACTTACCCGGGACTCTTCTGCTAGCATTGCATTCATGTCCTGGTCGGATATAGGTTGCATGATCTTTATATCAGCATAATAACGCTCGACCCACTCCTTGTAAATAGGAATGTCTTTGGCATATAGCAATTTAGAACTTGGAGAATCTTTTCCTGTAAAAGAAAAAATAATATTTAGTAAATCAAATAGTAATACACCTACCATCCGACTTACAACCGAGTTCAGTTCCGAGAAACCGGTCGTAAGTCGAAATGGTCGTAAGTCGAACTTTACTACTGAATATCAACAAAACATTTTTGTAATGACTATTTTATTGTTTTATTTTGGTATTTCATGTTTTACTTTACTTTTTATGTTGTTAGTACTGTATTTTATACTGTAAGGTTTAGGATAAACACTGTGTACAACACAAATAGTTGTTTATTTCCCAGAAATTTGGCATAAAAAAACACTGTCGTAAGTCGAGTGGTCGTAAGTCGAGTGGTCGTAAGTCGAGCAGGTCGTAAGTCGGATGGTAGGTGTAATTCTAAACCTTTGCTATTTAGTAATAACAAAGGTTTAGAAGATTACTGGTAATGGATATACATTAGCATATATTAATCCAGATATATAGGGCTTTATTGATGAATTAAGCTTACCTAATCTATGATCAGAAGTGGAGCAAGAATCCATGAAGGTCTGAGCGACTACTGATAAACAGGCATCCACAATATTGGACTTATGAATATCAAATACAAAGTTGGGATTCTTTATAAGGTTGACCCAAAACCTGAGGGGCAGGCTATTGCTCTTCCAAGTATGTACCACCTGAAATATATCACTCATTAAGCATTCATTTTAAGGAAATGTTTTGTTACTCTAAGACAGCATAAACGTAAATGGAAATCTAGCAACAATTTTTAATTTACTATTAAACAATATCAGGTTTGGTAAAAATCATCCAATCCAGCAAAATTAAAAACAAACAAACAACCAGATAATATGAGAGCAAATTGCTTGGGTTTTACCTAGATACAAATTGATCTTGAACCCCCTGGCACACACCTACTTAACCTTTAAACTGTCCCAACGTAGATCTACGTTTGCTCGCGTAGCGCTCTGAATGTAGATCTACATTTTTTTTTACATGCTTTCTTATAGAGAAAATCAAGGTCGGAGTGCTACGCGAACAAATATAGATCTACGTTTGGCACACATTCACACTCGAAGACTTGATCCTGTGTCCCAAGCTTTGTCCTCCTAACCTTACAGCATTTCTTAATCTATTCATACTTCACATATAGTACTTGTGGTTGGGCTTCCCACACAAATGTGAAACCACACATAAATATTAGTATTCAGAACTCTAAGTTTTCTCACAAATCTACATAAAACTCTTAAGATTAATTATGATCTACAGCACTGTACAGTGGAACCTCGGTACTTGAACTTAATTCGTTCCAGGTAGGTAGTAGGTTGGTAAACAGCAACCGCCCAGGGAGGTACTACCGTCCTGCCAAGTGAGTGTACAACGAAAGCCTGTAATTGTTTTACATGATGGTAGGATTGCTGGTGTCCTTTTTTCTGTCTCATAAACATGCAAGATTTCAGGTATGTCTTGCTACTTCTACTTACAATTAGGTCACATTACACATACATGTACAAGCATATATATATACACACCTCTCTGGGTTTTCTTCTATTTTCTTTCTAGTTCTTGTTCTTCCTATACATTCACTTAACATCTCCCAAAATCTCTCTCTCTCTCCTCTACATTCCTCTCTTCTCCAGGTGCATACATGCTTATTATGACCCACTTTTCACATCCATCCTTTACTTTAATCCACACAATCCTTGAATTTACACATTCATATTCTCTTTTCTCCTTCCATAACTGATCCTTCAACATTACTGATACCCCTTCCTTAGCTCTAACTCTCTCATATACTTCAGATTTAATCCCATATATTTCCCCCCACTGAAACTCCCCTACCCCCTTCAGCTTTGTTTCACTTAGGGCCAGGAGATCCAACTTCTTTTCATTCATAACATCAGCAATCATCTGTTTCTTGTCATCAGCACTACATTCAAGCACCCCAGTTTTATAAAGTTTTTCTTCTTCTCTTTCTTAGTAAATGTTTACAGGAGAAGGGGTTACTAGCCCATTGCTCCCGGCATTTTAGTCGCCTCATACGACACGCATGGCTTACGGAGGAAGGATTCTTTTCCACTTCCCCATGGAAAATAGAAGAAATAAAGAAGAACAAGAGCTATTTAGAAAAAGGAGAAAAACCTAGATGTATGTATATATATATATATGCATGTGCATGTCTGTGAAGTGTGACCAAAGTGTAAGTAGGGGTAGCAAGATATCCCTGTTATCTAGCGTGTTTATGAGACAGAAAGAGAGACCAGCAATCCTACCATCATGTAAAACAGTTACAGGTTTCTGTTTCAGTTATCTGGCAGGACGGTAGTATTTCCCTGGGTGGTTGCTGTCTACCAACCTACCTATATTTTTTTTTTTTCAACAAGTCGGCCGTCTCCCACTGAGGCAGGGTGACCCAAAAAAGAAAGAAAATCCCCAAAAAGAAAATACTTTCATTATTCAACACTTTCACCTCACTCACACATAATCACTGTTTTTGCAGAGGTGCCAGAATACAACAGTTTAGAAGTATATACGTATAAAAATACACAATATATCCCACCAAACTGCCAATATCTCAAACCCCTCCTTTAGAGTGCAGGCATTGTACTTCCCATTTCCAGGACTCAAGTCCGGTTATATAAAATAACCGGTTTCCCTGAATCCCTTCACTAAATATTACCCTGCTCACACTCCAACAGCTTGTCAGGTCCCAAATACCATTTGTCTCCATTCACTCCTATCTAACACACTCACGAACGCTTGCTGGAAGTCCACACCCCTCGCCCACAACACCTCCTTTACCCCCTCCCTCCATCTTTTTCGAGGACGACCCCTACCCCCCCCTTCCCTTTCCCTTTACAGATTTATACGCTCCCATGTCATTCTACTTTACCCTTTCTCTCTAAATGCCCAAACCCTTCAAAAAACCCTTTTTCACCCTTACTAATACAGGGGGGGACTCCCGCCTTAAGATGGCATCGGTTACGTTAAATCCGCCATACATCTTTTGGATAAAAAAAATTTCCCTATAATTACACACCGGTGTGCGTGTGGTGTCAGTTTTGTGTTGGTGTGTAAAAAGTGTGTGTTGTAGTGTGGTGTGTGGGGTGTGTGTGTGTGTGTGGTGTGTGTGTGTTGTGTGGTGTGTGTTTGTGTGTGTTGTGTTTTGTGTGTGTGGGGTGTGTGTGTGTGTGTGTTGTGTGTGTGTGTGTGGTGGTGTGTGGTGTGTGTGTGTGTGTGTGTGTTCTAAACATAGTTGCTGTTTCCCTGTGTTAAACATAACATATATATCACCCCTTGCTTTTAATGGGGAACCCCTTTTTTGGGCCTGTGACTTTTTGGTGACGTCACGGATGCGCATAGCACGTTCGTACCTCTGCCCCGGTCTCAGACCGTGTAGACCTACAGGCAAGACAGGGAAGGCGGGCTCCACATTCATCATCACAGCCGACAAAAAGTTACCATCCAACAAGTTTGGGGGTTTCCTTTAAAACCCCGATACCCATTAAGAACCCCCACGATATGTGTTGTGTGTGTGTGTGTTGTGTGTGTGTGTGTGCCCCGTACTCACCTATTATTTTTGGGGTCGAGTCCGAGCTCCTGGGCCCCCGTGTGTTGTCTGTGTGTGTGGTCGTGTGTTGTTGCTTTGGGGTGTGTGGTGGTTGTCTGTGTGTGTGGGTCGGGTGGTGTGTCGTGTGTGTGTGTGTGTGTGTGGTTGTTGTGTCGTGTGTTGTGTCTGTGTGGTGTGTCGTGTGTGTGTGTGGTGTGGTGTGGTTTGGGGGTGTTGTGTGTGTGTGTTTTTGTGTGGGTGTGTGTGTGTGTGGTGTGTGTTGTGTCGTGTGTTTTGTGGTGCTGTGTGTGTGTGTGTCTGTGTGTGTTGTGTGTGTGGTGTGGTGTGTGTGTGTTGTGTGTGTGTGTCTTGTCTTGTGTGGGGGTTTTTGTCTGTGTGCTGTCTTGTGTCCTTCTGTGTCGTGGGTCCCGTCTGTGTCTGTGTTCTGTCGTCGTGGTCTGTCTTGTCTGTGTGTTGTGTGTCTGTGTTGTCCATGCCAGTTGTGGAAACCTTGGCCTACTTCAAAGATTAAGGAATTGTGCAAAATGGGTTGAAAAAATACAAACCTTTATGGGGTGAAAAACACCCTAACACAGCTATTGCAAGCCATCTGGGACTATTACAATACAATGTCGTGGCCCCTTTTAGCAAAACTTAAAGGGAAAGGGAGTACAGACTCTATGGACAGATTTGTTGTGCGACAGAGGTCCAGTGACTCTCAAGCTGGTCCTAATGGCATTTAAAGAAGAAGGGAAGTAACCCTGGAAAAGGACGTACCTCAAGTCCTAATGGAAGGGGATTCCCCTTCTAAACAATAACAACTTCCACACTCCCCTCCTCCCATCCCATCAATCATCACCAGATCTTCAATAAAAGTAAGTGTCATGTATTCTATTCTTAGAAGAGTATTAATTGTGCATGTCTTCTTAAGTTTGTGTATTAAAATTAATATTTCATGTGGTAAATTTTTTTTTTCAGACTTTTGGGTGTCTTGCACAGATTAATTTGATTTCATTTATTTCTTATGGGGAAAATTAATTCGCCTGACGATAATTTCGGCTCACAATGGGCTCTCAGGAACAGATTAATATCGTAAGGCGGGAGTCCACTGTACTTTTATTAACTCCACACCTTCTCCTAATTTCCACACTCTGAATTTTCTGCATAATATTTACACCACACATTGCCCTTAGACAAGACATCTCCACTGCCTCCAACCTCCTCCTCGCTGCAGCATTTACAACCCAAACTTCACACCCATATAAGAATGTTGGTACTACTATACTTTCATACATTCCCTTCTTTGCCGCCATAGATAACATTTTTTGCCTTCGCATGTACCTCAATGCACCACTCACCTTTTTTCCTTCATCAATTCTATGATTAACCTCATCCTTCATAAATCCATTGGCTGACACGTCAACACCCAAATATCCGAAAACATTCACTTCTTCCATACTTCTCCCCAATTTGATATCAAATTTTTCTTCATCTAAATCATTTGATACTCTCATCACCTTATTCCTAGGTAGTAGGCTGGTAGACAGCAACCGCCCAGGGAGGTACTACCGTCCTGCCAAGTGAGTGTAAAACAATAGCCTGTAATTGTTTTACAGGATGGTAGGATTGCTGGTGTACTTCTTTCTTTCTCATAAACATGCAAGATTTCAGGTATGTCTTGCTACTTCTACTTACACTTAGGTCATACTACACATACATGTACAAGCATATATATATACACACACCCCTCTGGGTTTTCTTCTATTTTCTTTCTAGTTCTTGTTCTTGTTTATTTCCTCTTATCTCCACGGAGAAGTGGAACAGAATTCTTCCTCTGTAAGCCATGCGTGTTGTAAGAGGCGGCTAAAATGCCGGGAGCAAGGGGCTAGTAACCCCTTCTCCTGTAGAAATTACTAAATTTAAAAAGAGAAACTTTTGTTTTTCTTTTTGGGCCACCCTGCCTTGGTGGGATACGGCCGGTTTGTTGAAAAAAAAAATCACCTTACTCTTTTCTATGTTCACTTTCAACTTTCTACCTTTACACACACTCCCAAACTTGTCCACTAACCTTTGCAATTTTTCTTTAGAATCTCCCATTAGCACAGTATCATCAGCAAAAAGTAACTGTGACACTTCCCATTTTGTATTTAATTCCCCATAATTTAAACCAACCCCTCTCCCGAACACCTTAGCATTTACTTCTTTTACAACCTCATCTATGTGTATATTAAACAACCATGGTGACATTACACATCCCTGTCTAAGACCTACTTTTACCGGGAAAGTCTCCCTCTCTTCTACACACCCTAACCTGAACCTTACTATCCTCATAAAAACTCTTTACAGCATTTAGTAACTTACCACCTATTCCATAAACTTGCAACATGTGCCACATTGCTTCCCTATCTACTATCATATGCCTTTTCTAAATCCATAAATGCAATAAAAACTTCCCTACCTTTATCTAAATACTGCTCACATACATGCTTCAATGTAAACGCTTGATCAACACATCCCCTACCCACTCTAAAACCTCCTTGCTCATCCGCAATTCTACATTCTGTCTTACCTCTAATTCTTTCAATAATAGCCCTACTGTACACTTTTCCTGGTATACTCAGTAAACTTATTCCTCTATAATTTTTACAGTCACTTTTGTCCCCCTTCCCTTTATATAAAGGTACTATACAGGCTCTCCGCCAATCCCTAGGTACCTTCCCCTCTTTCATACATGTATTAAACAAAAATACCAACCATTCCAACACTATGTTCCCCCCTGCTTTTAGCCCTTAAACGGTCCAAACGTATATATACGTCCACGCGCGTAGCGCCCCAAACGTATATATACGTTTTCTTTGTCATTCATTCAACATTGCCACATTAAGCCTGAGTCACCTAGACATGAGAGAATGGGTGTGTGCACTCACTGTGTGCCATATTAAAATAATTGGGGATGCCTGGGTACCATATGCTCCTTTTTCCTTTTAAAAGAAAAGATTGTTTTTTTCCTCAAAAAAGTTGGGGCACTATGCGAGTGAACGTATATATACGTTTGGACCGTTTAAGGGTTAACATTTCTGTCATGATCCCGTCAGTTCCAGCTGCTTTACCCCTTTTCATTCTACGTAATGCCTCACGCACCTCCCCCACACTCGCATCCTGCTCTTCTTTACTCATAAAACATGGTATACCTCCCTAGCCAGTGCATGAAATTACCGTCTCCCTTTCTTCCTCAACATTTAAAAGTTCCTCAAAATATTCTCGCCATCTACCCAAAACCTCCATCTCCCCATCTACTAACTCCCCTACTCTGTTTTTAACTGACAAATCCATTTGTTCCCCAGACTTTCTTTACTTGTTTAACTCGCTCCAAAATTTTTTTATTTTTATTAAAATTTCTTGACAGTACCTCTCCCACTCTATCATCTGCTCTCCTTTTGCACTCTCTCACCACTCTCTTCACCTTTCGTTTACTCTCCATATACTCTGCTCTTCTTATAACACTTCTGCTTTGTAAATACCTCTCATAAGCTACCTTTTTCTCTTTTATCACACCCTTTACTTCATCACTCCACCAATCACTCCTCTTTCTTCTTGCACCCACCCTCCTATAACCACAAACTTCTGCCCCACATTCCAATACTGCATTTTTAAAACTGTTCCAACCCTCTTCAACACCCCCCCCCCCACTACTCATACTTACACCAGCCCACCTTTCTGCCAATAGTTGCTAATATTTCACCTGAACTTCCTCCTCCTTTAGTTTATACACTTTCACCTCCCTCTTACTTGTTGCCATTTTCCTCTTATCCCACCTACCTCTTACTCTAACTGTAGCTACAACTAGATAATGATCCAATATATCAGTTGCCCCTCTATAAACGTGTACATCCTGGAGCCTACCCATCAACCTTATATCCACCAATACATAATCTAACAAACTACTTTCATTACGTGCTACATCATACCTTGTATATTTATTTATCCTCTTTTTCATAAAATATGTATTATTTATTACCAAACCTCTTTCTACACATAGCTCAATTAAAGGCTCCCCATTTTCATTTACCCCTGGCACCCCAAATTTACCTACTACTCCCTTCACAACATTTTTACCAACTTTAGCATTAAAATCCCCAACCACAAGTACTCTCACACTTGGTTCAAAACTCCCCACGCATTCACTCAACATTTCCCAAAATCTCTCTCTCTCCTCTATACTTCTCTCTTTCCCAGGTGCATATACACTTACTATAACCCACTTCTCACATCCAACCTTTTACTCCACATAATCCTTGAATTAATACAATTATAGTCCCTCTTTTCCTGCCATAGCTTATCCTTCAACATTATTGCTACTCCTTCTTTAGCTCTAACTCTATTAGAAACCCCTGACCTAATCCCATTTATTCCTTTCCACTGAAACTCACCCACCCCCTTCAGCTTTGTTTCACTTAAAGCCAGGACATCCAGCTTCTTCTCATTCATATCCACAATCATCTCTCTTTTTTTTTTTTATTTTATTATCACACTGGCCGATTCCCACCAAGGCAGGGTGGCCCGAAAAAGAAAAACTTTCACCATCATTCACTCCATCACTGTCTTGCCAGAAGGGTGCTTTACAATACAGTTTTTAAACTGCAACATTAACACCCCTCCTTCAGAGTGCAGGCACTGTACTTCCCATCTCCAGGACTCAAGTCCGGCCTGCCGGTTTCCTTGAACCCCTTCATAAATGTTACTTTGCTCACACTCCAACAGCACGTCAAGTATTAAAAACCATTTGTCTCCATTCACTCCTATCAAACATGCTCACGCATGCCTGCTGGAAGTCCAAGCCCCTCGCACACAAAACCTCCTTTACCCCCTCCCTCCAACCTCTCCTAGGCCGACCCCTACCCCGCCTTCCTTCCACTACAGACTAATACACTCTTGAAGTCATTCTGTTTCGCTCCTATTCTCTCTACATGTCCGAACCACCTCAACAACCCTTCCTCAGCCCTCTGGACAACAGTTTTGGTAATCCCGCACCTCCTCCTAACTTCCAAACTACGAATTCTCTGCATTATATTCACACCACACATTGCCCTCAGACATGATATCTCCACTGCCTCCAGCCTTATCATTCGCAAAACATCCACACACATTCAGACTTCCCACTTTGGCAATTTTCTTCTTCTTAATCTTTTTAGTAATTATTACAGGAAAATGGGTTACTAGCCCATTGTTCCCGGCATTTTAATTGACTTTTGCAACACGCATGGCTTACGGAGGAAAGATTCTTATTCCACTTCCCCATGGATATAAAAGGAAAAGTAATTAGAACAAGAACTAAGATAAAATCAAAGAAAACTCAGATGAGTGTGTATAAATAAACATGTAATGTTGCCTAAGTGTAAGTAGAAGTAGGAAGATGTACCTGTAATCTTGCATATTTATGAGACAGACAAAAGACACCAGCAATCCTACCATCATGTAAAACAATTACAGGCTTTCATTTTACACTCACTTGGCAGAACGGTAGTAATCCCCTTCAACTTTCCAACTAACATCTAGCCTCTCTTATTCTTAAATACCAAGTCCACTTATTCCCCAAAATTTCTCAACTTTTCTCCCTCTAACCAAAAATAGTTCCTTATTGTAAAATATATTCTCTGGTTATTACTATTATGCATCATTAATAAGATATTTTTAATGTTTGTTGCTACAAGCACATCGTTGTTAATGTTTCATATGTTTTTGATTATTCAACAGCAAAGACAGCTGTTTGAAACTTTTATCCAGGATATTTTTAAAATAATGGCAAAGGATCATACTCCATGATGAAGAAAAATATTCTTTAGATAATTTTCCGAGAATGACAAAAAAGGCTGCATGCTCAAGAAAAATATTCCTGAAAATGGTGTGCTAAGATGACAAAGCACAGCCAGTGTCTCACCTCAGGGTCCGTGATGCCATGCTGTAGTGCTTGATCATCAAGGAAATCAAACATATATTTTATAGCAAGGGGCAAAGCAGAACCCCGATGTGCAGTGCTGAATATCGTCTCGAACAGATCATCAACAAATTTTTGTAGCGTGAGCTTCGTGGACAGCAGACGTGTGAGGTAGATCTCTGATACCATTTTATTTGTGCGCTCTCCCTCACGCTGTTCTGATTCTTGTTGACGAACCAAATGCCAAACCTGCACAAAAACAATTATACTTCTACTACTGATATATCCTGTTTTTTAAAACACACTGGCCATCTCCCACAAAGGCAGGTAACTCAAAAAAGAAACACTTTCAGAAAGTCCTTCTTTTTACATTTACGTAGCAGTTTATACAGAAGGGGTTACTAGCCCCTTGCTCCTGGCATTTTAGTTGCCTCTTTCAGCATGCATGACTTACAGAGGAAGGATTCTTCTCCATTTTCCCATGGAGATATTTTCCTAAATATAATATTATCCATGGGTAAGCGAAACAGAATGTGTGTCATGAGAAGTGACTAAAATGCTGGAAGGAGCTAATAACCTCCTCTCCTGTATAAATTACCAAATTTTAAAAGAGAAACTTTCATTTTTCTTTTTGGGTCACCCTGCCTCGATGAGATATGGCCAGTTTGTTAAAAAAAAAATATATATATACTTCTAACATATTTTATTGCAATAGTGTCTCATTTATTATTTTGTTACTTTCATGGTCTTATTATGGCACAACAGCTGTTATTGTACACAACAAGCATTCATTGTTACAGAAATAAGTACAGTACTAAATAGAGCAGTTAGTAAGACTTTAGCATTAGTAAAGCAAATGTTTCTATTAGACTCAAGACAGATGTAAAGAAAACAGTACTTGTAGGAAATTTGTGTGAGAGATGGAAAAGTAGGAAGGAAAGGATGGAGAAAGGAAGAGAGAAGGAGAGATTGAGAAAACATGTATGGGAATGAGACTTGGGAGGGGGGCTATTGAAGGAGAGGGAAAGGGAAGAGGGAGCTGAAGGGGAAGGAAAGGTGGAGTGGTAAGGAAAATGAGCAAGGAGGTAGAGTGGGTAGAGGTGGAGTTGGGGGAAGGGAGGAGGAAAAAGGGGGGGGAAAGATAAGGGAGATGAGTGCAGAAAAGGAGAGTGGCAGGAGAGTATGTCCCACTCTACCACTGAATGGAGTTTCTTTCACCTGGCTGAGGTGTGTATTTCTTCACAAGTGATGAAGAAAGTACAGCCTTCACTCTCCACCTCCCCTCCTCTTCCCACTTCTTACACACTATCCTGTATCTCTTTTATTACTATATCCTTCATATTTTCTTTTTTATTTCTGAAAAATCTTAACTTTAATGCTCATATACCTAAATGCATTTTTTTTTTTACAAACTTCACAAGTGCAGGTTAGTCACCAAAAAAACAAATAAAATGAATGAGCTCAGAGAACACAAATAAGTAAAATTAAATAAATAAATTAAATAAATAAAGTGCATTTTCTATGCATGTGTTAAATTATGCAATAAGCTGAAATAGCCATTAAACTGCTAGTCAACAAAGTTACATTCATGTTTATGCTCACAAATACTGCATCCCTAAGTATATCTTAAATGTTCTTATTTAACAAAGAAACTACAATAAAAAAGAAAGCTTAAAGATGAATAATTACTATCAACTTTTCACTCCTGGTAATAAATGTTCAATGCAAAATCATTTATAGAAGTTTCTCATTAAACTGTATCCTGATGAACTAAGGAAAGTCTGACCATTCACAGCCAACACAAATGCCTCAATATAATTGTTGATATGGAAATGGGAAAATACCCTCTTTTATAATTATGGATATAGGATGGTTGGAATAAGAAAAATTGTATTTTATAATTAGTTGAAAGGGCAATACAGCACATGGGGAATGAGAGGTAATCAAGTTTGATATGAAGAAAGAAAGTGCAGCTCCAATTATTTATATCAAGAGCCCTTCACTGGCATAAAGGCACTGAAATAAAGGGATTACAATCATTGAATAAATGCTTAATATTACTGTTTGACACTTAAGGTAGCTAAACATGTGGTGCCAATACAGTAACAAACATGCTAACAGAAATGCTTTACATGCATTCCTCTCCAGAGGGTTGCTGTGATGCTGCTGAAGGACTTGATTCAAAGGATTGGAGCTACCCACCCCTTCCTCAGATCAAATCTCATTACCTCCTGTTATCAGGTGCTGTATGACAGATTTAGTATCCTTCTTCCTGAATAGTGTAATAATAATAATAAAATAAATTACATACATTAATGGCTTTGGATTTAGATATATGGAATTGGTAAATCTGAAGAACACAATCTTGGCAATAATCAGAAATTTTTTATTGTTTGTGTTATCGCTTAAAACTGCAGACCGATATCAATTTGCATTATTAACATTCCTGTGGAAGAATGAGCAATATTTCATTTTTAATGTATCCTCCTTCAAAATGCTGTTTTTGAATCTGTCAAAATATTCAATGTGAAGTGCTTTCCATAAACAGGATGCTTATGGAGTAACAGACCCCTAAGTCCACTGTATTGGCAACAGGCAACCTTGCCACATTATAAAATTTCCAAAGCTGTATTTGGTTCTAGTAATAGATACAAGATATACAATACTATGATCACAGCCACTGGAGCAAGTAAACGAGATATACTTTTTTGTTTACAGCAAGTAATAATTACCTGTAGATAAATGGCTCAGAATATCCACAGGTTGTTGAATTATGCAACACTTGGGTATCTTTATTGAATTAAGCAACACTTGGGTATCTTTATTGTATAAACGTTTTGCCATCTAGTGGCTTCCCGAGTTCAATACTGGTAAGAATGGCTGAAAATCAGGAGGGGTTTGAAGTAATCATTCCCTCAGCCTGGATGGCTGAGGGACTGATTACTTCAAACTTCTGATCTTCAACCATTCTTCTCTGTACTGAACTAAGGAAGCCATTGGATAGCAAAATGTTTCCATGATAAGATGCACAAGTGTCTAATTCAACAATAATTACTTGGGTATGTGTATAAACCTAGATAGGAAGAGAGTAGCGTGCTTGTAGATGAACAAGTGAGTGCATTTCCAGAAAGAATCTATAGTGTTGGGAAGTTATTAGTAAGCAAAGGAAATAAAAAATTAATTAAATGCTGTACTGTAACCATTTCCTTCAAACAGCTCACGCCTGTACTAATAAAAGTTTTATTTCTTGTTAGTATAATTGGGAATTATTGAAGCACAAATTAATAACCACACACATCCCCACTACACACACACAGTACCATCAAACATATCAAAAACATTGTCAAGCATGATCAAAAGAAACAAACATGATCAGAATAAAAGATAACACTTAAAAAAGAACAAACAAAAGTGTGGCTCTAACCTGCCTTGTGGTGAAACGGACCTTTGCTCCTACCTTAACCCCCGCTTCATTATCGTGGTTAAGGGGCGATGTGGCCCGCGAGAGGGGCGGACTGGCAGATGTGTATTTATTCATATTTAATGTCTCGTACTTGTGGTGTGACTTATCTGATTTATCAGAAAGAATTGACATGTAGTTATATATTGATGACTGTTTAGGTATGAGGGTTAACTGGGCCAGATCAGGAACATTATAGTGGGCTAAAGTGTTCAGCTTCTTCCAGCCTCCCTCAGGCCTAGTGGTGGTGTCTTCGTCGTATAGGATGAGTCGACCTGAAAAAAGTTACTTTATATTATCGTGATATTTATTACAGGTCGGCCATCACTTATCCGGCATCATTGGGACCTGCGGTGTGCCGGATTAGTGAGTTTGCCGGATTACAGAATGGTTAGGTTAGAATAACACGTAATAAACCTATCAACAGAGACTCTCTGCTACATCTCCCTCATTTTCATCACTGCTTTCTCCTCCACTGGCTTGCTGCTGTGGATTTGCAACCATCTGCACAATTCCCGGTCAGTATAATGATGAAATTTGAAATTATGCTAGCCGAAATTAGCACCAGATTACTTATGGAACCGGATAACTGATTGCCAGATTAGTGATTGCCGACCTGTACTAAACTTTTAGATGTGGAAGACACTCAGATCTTAAATAATTGTTGAAAAATGTTAATTATTAACCCCTTTACTGTCCAAAGCCCCAAAATTAAAGGTGTTTAACATCCACATTTAAAAAAAAATCTAAAATGGAAGAAAACCTTTTCCTGAGGGGTAATGATACTAAAAGTATGGAATTTTATAGAAAACTTATTGAAATATGTAGGTGCAAAGTAATTAGCAGTCTGGGCACAATATATGCATTGATGATTCTACCCACTCTGAGTTCTATTTTCAGCCAATTTCACTGCTCAATTTGACAAATTCTTAGCTATTTAGCTAGTACAGTGTATGCTTATTGACTGAGCACAAGAAACTGCCCATTTAACTTATGAAAACTACTTTATAAAGTGCACAAGTCAGTAATTTTGTGAATTTTACACAAAATTTAAAAAAAATCCAATATAAAAACACATAGGTAGCAGGTTGGTAGACAGCAACCATTTGGGGAGGTACTACCGTCCTACCAAGTGAGTGTAAAAAGGAAGCCTGTATTTATTTTACAAGATGGTAGGATTGCTGGTGTCTTTTTTCTGTCTCATAAACATGCAAGATTTCAGGTACATCTTGCTACTTCTACTGACACTTAGGTCACACTACACATACACGTACATGTTTATTGTTTACACACTCATCCGAGTTTTCTTTGATTTTATGTTAAGTTCTTGTTCTTATTCCTTTTCCTTTCATATCCATGGGGAAGTGGAATAAGAAGCTTTCCTCCGTAAGCCATGAGTGTTGTAAGTCAACTAAAATGCCGGGAACAATGGGCTAGTAACCCCTTTTCCCGTATAGCCTACTAAAAAGAAAAAGAAGAAAACCATCCAAGTGGGATGTTTGAATGTGCGTGGATGTTGTGCAAATGATAAGAGATGAATGTGGATGTTATGAATGAGATGATGCTGGATGTCCTGGCTTTAAGTGAAACAAAGCTGAAGGGGTGGGAGAGTTTCAGTGGAGAGAAATAAATGGGATTAGGTCAGGGGTTTCAAATAGAGTGAGCTAAAGAAGGAGTAGCAATTATGTTGAAGGATAAGTTATGGCAGGAAAAGAGAGAATATAAATGCATAAATTCAAGGATTATGTGGTGTAAAATAAGGGTTGGATGTGAAAAGTGAGTTATAGTAAGCGTTTATGCATCTGGAGAAGAGAGAAGTGCAGAGGAGACAGAGATTTTGGCCAGTTTCACACAAATTTCAACAGATGCTAATTTCAAAACAGGGTCCAGAATAAACAATGCAGACATTCCTGGCACTAAAATAACATTTTCTCTGTTCATTAACGACAGTTCCAGGCCCCTCTTATATTACTTTTGCTTTCCATTTGGAATTTTTATTCACAAAAAATAGAAGATTTACTGTTATGCAGACTGCTGCATTATTGTAATAATTGTATAAATAATGTCAACCCATTCTTGACTCCGTATTGGAATTTGGACTGGCAGGCGGACAGGTATTGGACTGTGATGTCATTTGTTTACTCTTGAGCTTCGCTAAAGAATAGAACATTTTCGCTACTGTGAGCACAATTTCAAGGTACTTTTCGTCATGAAAGCAATCAAAATCATATCTATTTCTGTAATATATCTTTCATTCTATCAAATGAGACCGAAAAAATGAAAATATAACCATAACAACCATAAAAAAATATACCTCTAAGCGGCCGCTAATGGCTGAGAAGTGAACTCCGCTATTTATGGTCTGATTTTTCATTTTTGGTGTACATTAAGAAGTATCTTTCCATCATACATTGCCCAAGTTTCAATAAGATAACCCAACAAACAATTGAGAAAATAACAATAATAATATCTTTATTTACTACACGTACGTGTACAAGGTATACAGGCCTAGCTGACATCAGTGACATACTACTACATTATAGAAAGCCACTTGTTATGCAGAGTATTTCAAGGAAATTAGGTCAGTGTCCCAGGATAACACCCACACCAGTTGACTAACACCCAGGTACCCATTTACTGATGGGTGAACATAGACAACAGGTGTAAAGAAACACGCCCAATGTTTTTACCCTGGCTGGGAATTGAATATTTACCAAAAATCATATATGGCTAACCCAAGCCAGGTACTATAAATAAGCCACATTGTCTGACTTTTTTGGGTTATCCTAGGTTCTTTACACATATGCTGCTAAATGTGATAATCTATATAGAGAAAATAACTTTTTTGTTTCAGGTTTATGGTGCAGTACGAGTGTATATCACAGTTAACCCTGTGATACACTCCGTTTTCTCTAATATAAGCTCCCAAGACAGGGATAGGAGAATGGTACTTGTATACCATATCCTCTTCATACCTCTGTCGAACTGCCCGGTATTATGTCAAATATTATTTATTCTGGAGTATTTAACATGTTTTATGTTATTTATATTGTTTATTATGTCATATTAGATCAATTGTGATAGGCAATAAGCTGTAGTGTTGATATTAGCATAATAATAAAGCATATTCTCCTGCTTCATGAGACTGAGCTCATGGCAACCGACAGTGGCTTCAAAGCCACCTTATCTTTAATGGATAATGTACTGTGTAGGTGCTTTACACAACGAGAAGCATTTCTTTTATTCATTGGAAGCATGGCTAGGGCTAAAAGTAAGCAGGTTATAACAAATGGAGAAAAAGAAATTAGAATGACTTATGCAACAAGTAGTGCCACCAAACAGTACCAGCAGGTTGGTGTGGCGACCCTGGAAATTTGAAATTATGCTAGCCAAAATTAGTGCCGAATAACTGAAGGAACTGAATAACTGATTGCCAGATTTGTGATGGCGACCTGTAATACATATTTTATGAAAAAGAGGATAAGTATAGAATGTACGATATAGCACATAATGAAAGTAGTTTGTTAGATTATGTATTGATGGATAAAAGGTTGATAGGTAGGCTTCTGGATGTACATGTTTATAGAGGGGCAACTGATATATTGGATCATTATTTAGTTATAGCTACAGTTAGAGTATGAGGTAGAGGGGACAATAGGAAAATGGCAACAGCAAGTAAGAGAGAGGTGAAGGTGTATAAACTAAGAGAGGAGGAAGTTCAGGCAAGATATGAGCAACTATTGGCAGAAAGGTGGGCTGGTGCAAGTATGAGTAGTGAGGGGGGGGAGGGTTTGAAGAGGGCTGGAATAGTTTTAAAAATGCAGTATTAGAATGTGGGGCAGAAATTTGTGGTTATGGGAGGGTGGGTGCAGGAGGAAAGAGGAGTGATTGGTGGAATGAAGAAGTAAAGGGTGTGTTAAAAGAGAAAAAGGTGGCTTATGAGAGGTTTTTACAAACCAGAAGTGTTATAAGAAGAGCAGAGTATATGGAGAGAAAAAGAATGGTGAGAGAGTGCAAAATGAGAGCAGATTATAGAGTGAAAGAGGCACTGTCAAGAAATTTTGCAGTGAGATAAACAAGTTAAGAAAGCCTAGGGAAAGAATGTATTTGTCAGTTAAAAACAGAGTAGGGGAGTTACTGTAGTTGATGGGAAGCTGGAGATATTGGGTAGATGGCAGGAATATTTTGAGGAACTTTTAAATGTCGATGAAGAAAGGGAGGCGGTAATTTCATGCACTGGTCAGGGAGGTATAACATCTTTTAGGAGTGAAGAAGAGCAGGATGTGAGTGTGGGGGAGGTGCATGAGGCATTACGTTGAATGAAAGGGGGTAAAGCAGCAGGAACTGACGGAATCATGACAGAAATGTTCAAAGCAGGGGGGATATAGTGTTGGAGTGGTTGGTATTTTTGTTTAATAAATGAATGAAAGAGGGGAAGGTACCTAGGGACTGGCAGAGAGCATGTATAGTTCCTTTATATAAAGGGAACGGGTACAAAAGAGATTGGAAAAATTATAGTTCACTACATATACCAGGAAAAGTGTACGGTAGGGTTATTATTAAAAGAATTAGAGGTTAGACAGAGAGTAGGAATGTTGATGAGCAAGGAGGCTTTAGAGTGGGTAGGGGAGGTGTAGATCAAGTGTTTACATTGAAGCATGTATGTGAACAGTATTTAGATAAAAGTAGGAAAGTTTTCATTGTATTTATGGATTTAGAAAAGGCATATGATAGAGTTCTAGGTAGTAGGTTGGTAGACAGCAACCGCCCAGGGAGGTACTACCGTCCTGCCAAGTGATTGTAAAACGAAATACTGTAATTGTTTTACATGATGGTAGGATTGCTGGTGTCTTTATTCTATCTCATAAACATGCAAGATTTCAGGTATGTCTTGCTACTTCTACTTACATTTAGGTCACACTACACATACATGAACAAGCATATATATATACACACACACCCCTCTGGGTTTTCTGCTATTTTCTTTCTAGTTCTTGTTCTTGTTTATTTCCTCTTATCTCCATGGGGAAAGTGGAACAGAATTCTTCCTTCATAAGCCATGCATGTTGCAAGAAATGACTAAAATGCAGGGAGCAAGGCGCGAGTAAGCCCTTCTCCTGTATAAATTACTAAATTTGAAAAGAGAAACTTTTGTTTTTCTTTTTGGGCCACACTGCCTCGGTGGGATACGGCCAGTTTGTTGAAAGAAGAAGAATATGATAGAGTGGATAGGGGAGCAATGTGGCAGATGTTGCAAGTATATGGAATAGGTAGT